CATTAATTAATATAATTTAAAACTGACCAGCAAGTGCTCCACACACAGCTCCTTCCCATGGATGTACACTTCGTCCACTCTTTTGATACCAAGTTGTTTTTAATATTTCCCACAGTGGAAATTGAATACAAGAGAATGGAACCTCTCTTAAGATGGTACTGCCAAATCCACGATAAAAGCCCCTGATGCCTTCCTCATGCCAAGTATTAATAGTCAACTGTAGAGCTGACTTCTTAGTAATTGAAGTTTGTAGTCTTTGCTTTATTACTTCAACTGGCACTCGTAGTGAACATGCAGCCTAAGATTGCAACCACATTGATTAGATTTGGAGCTATATTTTCACAGATGATTTAAAAATTATAGTCCCATAACTCACAATTTCACCAACTGAAGCACTCACTAAATGGACAAAGGGTTTGAAATCTTGGCCAAATAAATTTCCTAAATTAACTTTACATGAGTTGTAGGAGCAGAAAAATAAGGCAGCTACAAAAAATTTCAAGGAATTAAGCATATTTAAGATCGTACTTAATAATGTATTTATATATGTTCATTCGTACTAACCACAGGGAACTGATCCAGCAGCAGCCGGAACAATACCTCGGTACACATTTTTAAATCCTCCAGATTTCCAAAATCCTGGAGCACTTTGTAATCTAGTTTTAAGAGTGTCCAAAGGAAAAAGTGACAAATCCACAACAAGGCCAGCAGCTCCACCAGCCTACAAATTTGACAGAAAAAGGCTTTAGGTACCAAGTAAAGGCTGGAATTCCCTTGGACACACTATCAATTGCTTGCCAAGAGTTTCTAAGAATGTATAGAGTGCAAGTAGAAAGTAACCAGTAGTTTCATAGAAGTTTGTAATGCACTTTGAAATTAAGAAAAGAGAGCAAATGAAAGTTTCAAACTTACAATAATTGACGTTGTAAAAGACGGCACCCTTTCCATTATTGTTTACAAGCAAGTCTGTAATTCAAAGGTCTGAGTTGAGCAAATATACACCACCGACAGCAGACGATAGTCATGGAAAACATAACCTATCCCATTCAGGAATACTTTGCAGGAAAATAAAAATAATTATGGAGGTTTCTTACAGCAGAGGGAACGATTATCAGGAGAAACCCGGCCATCACTTTAACAACTGACATGCTCCTGATATTTAGCTCTCTTTACTTTAACTTGCTTTCCTCATAACCTTACCATCATGCTTGCTAACTGTTGTATGAAAAACTCAGCAAGGTACAAGGAGAAAAGGCGGGGAAGTTACTACAATTCAAAATTAATCTGATGTCTTTTAAATAATCTAAATTAAAAATAATACAGTAATAACAACAAATACTTTGATAAAAATTTTATTATTAGATATTTACATAGTATTATTAGAGGCAGTTCCTTATTTATCACATTGTCTATAATACGCAGAGACCAAAAAGGGATGTCAGATAACATACACAACCAAAACACAAGAAAAGAGATGCCGGATGTACACTTTTTAAGGGGTAACAGTGGAGGAATGAAAAGAATAGTATGTCCGTATTCTATTATCCGTACTGAGTTTCTAGCAAATAGAAAATGGAAAGTATAATAGTGGGATGCGATGAGTTAAGTAGGGAAAGGATCTATGTGCCTCACTTACATAGAAGAGACAAACAAAACACATTAAGATAGAAAAATCCAACAGTTTTAACAGTAGGTACCACACCCTCATCTTTTCTCATTAGCTGCTCGTGGTCTTTGCCCTCCTCTTCCCCGTTGTGTTCCTTTAGAAGGTGACTTTCTCCCACTTGACTCACTTGGGCTAGAAGTAGAACTGGTTCCAAAACGAGACCCTGCCTTTGATGGCTGTGATGAATTTTGAGTAGTTGAAGTGGGTGTAATAGTAGAAGTTGAAGCTCCTCCTGAATTTCTGTTTAATGCAGGACCGTTACTGTTGTTACCATTATTCACACCAGCACCAGAATTCATTCCAGAGTTTTTGTGCAAATTTAGGTTTTGAGCAGCTATTTGTGCTGCCAGAGTTGGATTTGGTTCACTCATATTGGGCTGCTCACTGAACAACATGCAGTATTCTCCAATTTTTTGAATATCACCTGCTTTACTGCAATATAATGTCAAACAGTTCCTCCAAAACGAAGCATAGCCTTTAGTTAGTCTGATAATATCACCAGGCTGAACATACTGCCCAGGCTCATCCCACACTGATATATTGACACAGCCAGTGGGATCTGCTACTTTACATGAACGAACTTCTCTGTTTTCTTTGGTTGTTGTTGGAGGTCCCACTTCTAACACAATTAGAGTCATGTTCAAATTTTTAGCTCCAGCCCTAAGATCTTTAATGAGGTGGTCTTTCTTGTTATCTTTCAGGAGCTGTTGGTCCATCTTGTTCTAGATTTTTGTCTTATTTTTCAGCGACAAAGCAAACCAAGCCTGGGCACTTTTCTTATAGGATAACAGTTGAGTTTCGGAGAAGAACTCCGATAGCATATCAGCCTTCAACAGCCTGCAACAATAATAGTGGGGGAAGAATGATGAAGTGTACTTATAAGGGAGAAACAAACCCCATATACTATCACTTAAAACTAGTTTAAAAACACGTATTCGCAGAGACAAATCTGTGTTGTGGGATCTGTGTAGTACCTAACCTCAAAGGTACATGTCAAATTTGACATTTAATAACTATTCGCAAGTTTTAGAAAGTTAATCTTTGAATGGGTTAAGATAAACTAGAAAATGTTTAGGTTTAAACAATTAATCCATGGAAAACAAATGTACATACGTAAATATCTGTTTTTTGTGTTCAGAAGCAAAGAATAACACACTCGACATCAACATTCAACACCCCCGCCCAGCGGCTGAAGCTGGAACGCAATTGCAATCGTATTCGCAGTAGCGGTTGTTGTTTTCAGACTCTGGGGTCGAAGAGCCCAGGTGCGAGACTAGTGCCACTACCGATGAGAAATTAATTGGCTCAGCACCTAGCTTGAAGGATGGGAGGGTTTATGGGTTTATAGTCCCGTGATGAAAAGAAAAGAGGCTACGCTCTTGATCAGAAAATCAGCCAATATTAAGAAACCTCCAAAGATACCCATTTCCCCTCCTCACGAGACTAAATCCCCTGTAGTCTCGGAATGGAGTTAAGTTAGGGCTAGGATGCCTGTCGGGGAAGTCCCGCGGCCCTAGGTACCGTCCCCAGAGAGAAATAGGTCGTGGAAAAGACGTGGACTCCACGTGGTTTCGTGGATTTTTTGTGGTGGTGGATACATCCACCAGATATCCACCACTATTTACCTTTCTAAAAAGTTGCAAATAAAATCATAAGAAACCATTTTTTTGTCAACATTTCTTACTAAATGGGATTTTTATTGTTCTGAACGCCATATTCCAGTATATTGTCAATTCGACGTGGAATCCACGTCGAATCGACGTGTTTCAGTTCGTCTGTCGTTTACACG